AGTGAGCAGGGGAATATGACACTGTGGAATGGGACGTTGTCCTTGGCCATGAAGTTGTAGAGCTCAACCTGATAAGTAGGGGGAGGAGGTGGGGGGGATATCAGTGGACCCTGGTGTCCAGCTCTGTTCTTGCCTCCACCCTGCAGCAGCACCAGGCTCCTACCTGCTGTGGGTTCTTCCACCACCTCTCCCACTGGTCGGTGTAGTTGGCTGTAATGGACAAGTAGCCAATGGGAGCATCAAACCACACGTAAAAAACCTGAGGGGAAAGTGATACATGAGCAGGGGACCCCCCCAGGCAGGGCACCTGGGGACAGATGCTGCAACCAAGGGGCCAGGTGGGAACCACCTTGTCACGGAAACCATCAAGGGGCACAGGTGTGCCCCACTTCAGGTCACGGGTGATGCAGCGAGGTTTGAGCCCATCCCGGATCCAGGAGCGAGTGATGTAGCGAGCGTTGGCTGTCCAGTCCCCTGTGGCCCAGGACTGCTCCAGCCAGGGCTCCAGCTGCTCCTCCAGCTGTGGGGGAACACACGGGGATGGTCAGTGGTACCAGGGGGTGCCCCATCCCTTCCCCACTCTCCCAGGGATAAAGCGCACCTTGGGTAGGTCCAGGAAGAGGTGCTGGGTAGGTTTCACCACAGGGACGCCCCTGCAGAGCTTGCATTGTGGATTCTGTCGGAAGGAGAAACCAGGACAAGGCTGAGGGTCCCAGGCAGAGCTGGCGGGGGGGTGTGGGGTGGGGTGGTCCCCAGAGGGATCCTGTCCCACCTTCAGCTCCACAGCATTGATGAGTTTGCCACATTTATCACATTGGTCCCCCCGGGCCTCCTCATAGCTGCAGAAGGGGCAGGTGCCCTCCACAAAGCGGTCGGCCAGGAACCGCTGGCAGTCCTCACACTGCAGCTGCTCCACAGTGTCTTGCAGCAGGAAACCACGGGCCAGCAGGCGCTGGAAGATGTCCTGAGCAATCCTAGGACAGGAGAGGAAGAGCAAGGGGTCAGCCCCCATCAGCTAGAGAACCCTGGAGAACCATAAAGCACCCTCAGCCAGGCATGCTGGGGCTCCCCCCAACATTCCCCAGCACCAGTCCCTCCATATGAGCCCCTGGGGGACACAGCCGCTCACATGGTCTGGTACGGTGTGGTAGTGCGGCCAAAGTAGTCGAAGGAGATGTCAAACCAGCGGTAGATGTCAGCATGGATGGTGTTGTACTTGTTGCAGATCTCCTGGGGCGTCAGCCCCTCTTCCACCGCCTTGGTCTCAGTGGCTGTGCCATACTCGTCCGTGCCACACACATACAGCGTGTTCCAGTTCCGCAGGCGGCAGTACCTACAGGCAGGGGCCTGTGACACCCGTGCAGCTGTTGGGGGCAGTACAGCCCTCCATGATGATCCCCCAGCAGCTTTCCCACAGCCAGGTCTCACCTGGCAAAGGTGTCAGCACTGAGGACGCAGCCAATGATGTTGCCGAGGTGGGGCACGTTGTTCACATAGGGCAGAGCGCTGGTGATCAGGACATTCCTCATGCCCTCCACGGGCAGCCTGGCATAGACAGGGCAGTCAGAGCAGGCACAAAGAGCAACAGGGCCACCCCAGAACAATGTGGCATCAGTCTGGGAGCCCCTGCCAGGCCCCTTGGAGGTCTGGGACAGCCAGCCGTAGTGTCGTCTTGGAACTCACACAGGTTTCTGAGGCTGCCAAGGCTTGGGCAGTGCCGCAACACCGCGGGCCCAGGCGTCCACAGCAGCTGTGATTTCCTCCTCTGTCAGGGCAGGCTCAGAACCTTCTTCCTCCTGTGGGGAATGCTAGTCCCAGTGAGGGTCTGCATGCCTGTCACCGCCAGCCCCACAGGGGCCCATCCCTCGGGCAGGGCTGAGCAGGGGGCCAGGGCTGCACCTCGGGCTCGTTACTGGTGGCTCTCTCCATGGCCAGGCAGGGCGGAGGCTGCTTCTGCAGGTAGGACTTGAACTCCAGCAGTGCCTTGGGCATCAGAACAGAGTCGGCAGCTTTCCTGCAGGCCTCCGAGAGCGTCATGCTCTGGAACCAGGTCCTCAGCACCTGCAGCTCACCTTGGGGGAGCAAGGGAGATAGAGAGAGCGCAGCATGATTCTTACAATCATAGGAACACAAGCAATGCTCCCCCTCGGTACCCCTATTTCACTCTTACTTGGCAGGCTGGTCTCATCCTGGAGGACAGGGAACAAGGTACCCCACACAACCACATCAGCCACTGACTTGGTGTCCTGGGCCAGAGAAGCAGAGTCAGGCCTTGAGGCAGCCTCAACCCAGGCTCAGGGCTCTGCCTCGGGGCAGGCAGCAGGGAGCTCAGCTCTCCAGGGAGAAGGGCCCACTCACCCCACAGCCCCACTCACCCCACAGCCCCACTCACCCCAGCGAGGTAGGCAGTGCCTCTCCTGGACAAGTTCTGCTCTATATGGGCCAGCAACTTCCCCAGGACCTCCACTGCCTCCAGCCCTTTCCTGCCGTGCACCAGCTGAGCGTACAGGGCAGCTGATGCAGCCGGCTGAGGGAGCAGAAAGAGGCAGAAAAGGGGTCAGGTAGGGCCGGGCCCGGGGGTGGGAAGCCGCCAAACCCCGGGGCACCCACCTGTAGCTCAGTGGCCTCCCACTCCAGCCACTGGTTGGTGAGGTCGGTGGGCTCCTCTCCGCGGGCCAGGAAGAAGAACCTGGGGGGAATTGGGGGGGGGGGGGGCTGGAGGCTGCGAGGCCGTGCCCCACGCCCCCCTCCCCAGCACTCCGTACTCACTGGCAGATGGCGTTGGGGGAGAAAAGGACGGTGCCGCTGTCCAGCTCCAGCGCGGGCGCCCACGGGGGGCTCAGCGGGGCGAGGGGCCGGTCTGCAGGGGGGGGGGGGGGAAGCAGGCCCGTCAGGCCCGGCGGCGGCCCCCGCCGAGGGGTGGGGATCACCGGGGCCGGTGCTAGGGGGGGGTCCCTGCCGGGG